CAAACTCAAATGAAACTAAGTAATTTGAATTTGAATTACATTTAACACTTATCATCAACCTATTTTTAGGTATTGGAATAATATACCAACATAAATTATAATTGGATAATTTGTTTAAGCTTTCCAAAATCTTCAAATTTCCTCATTCAATACAATTTTTTACTTCTAAAATTATGAAGATTTTGATTTTTGAATAAAAATAAATTTTCTAAAACATTCTCTATTATAATTTTTCTATTCTTTTAATTAAATCCTTGTCCTTTTTCAAATTTTTGTCTTCTCTTCCTCTTCAAACTTTCAAACAAAACCTAAGTTTCTTTCAAATATTTTATATATCTTTATCTAGTTAGAATCTAGATATAACGAGAATATCATATAAATATTTTTAGCATAAACTAACATGAGTAGCTATATTGACTTTTATGTGGCTAATCACATTGAAGGATAAGAGGAAATAAATAACTTTCTCTCATACCCTACTTGTAAGATGTTGGATCGAACTCTAGTATGGTTGAAGGGTAACTTCTAGTTCGACAAGAATTAAGCATGAAATCGAAGTATGTTTGCATGTTGCTGTCAGAATAATGCGTGTTGTAGTCGAAGTTTGTTCTAACATGCATTAGTCAATATTGCTAGGGTTGTTAGCATGTTGAATTAGGCCTTGCTTATAAGCTCAATTGTTTAAGTTAGCTTGTACCATAAGTTAGCTTGTAATGGGTAATTGTTAAAAATCCCATTAGGTTAGTGTGCTGCTTTTCTTATAAGTAGGATGCTAGTTTCTCAATCTTGGCATAAGGAAAATTAGGAAGATAAAATTCTAATTTCAAGAGAGAGATGTTATTTTGTTATTCTTGTATACTTGTAATCTTGTTTCAAATTTAAAGGAAAGAATAACAGTTTATAATCAATCCTTGTTGTTCCTTATTGTTTTACCTTGTTATCTTTATTAACCCTAACCCTTGTGTGTTTCTTGATCATAAAGAAATCGTTTATATTTTGTTTCAAGACATCTGATTCACAACACTACTAAGGGCTAACCCAATCAATTCGGAGATCCCGATCACATTTAAAAAATAGGCATAAATTAATTAAAAAAATACAATTATAATAATTAAAAATAACGCTTTAAAAATACTATTATATATTAATAAAAAATAGATTTAATTATAATTTATTTTACTTTTTAGTTAATCTCAATTTTTTATGGATTTTGGTTTCTATCATAATATTTTTTATATATTTGATTTTTATTATAATTTATTTTATATGTTTATTAATGAAGAAATTTTTTTAGCCTCTCAAAATTTGGGGCCCTGTGCCGTAGAGCTTGCTGCTCTTGCACAAGGTTGACCTTGACCCCACTTTTCCACCCAAATTTTTCCACTATCCAATTTTCCTCACAAAATCGCAAATTACTCCATTTTCAAAATTTATGTCAAAATGCAACCCGATTTAAACCATAGATCATTTTAAAAAAGTATAATGAATATAAACATTAATATAATACAAGATTGCATTGACATGTGGGAGTTGCAAGCGGGATGCCCCAATTTAAGTCAAACTCTATGAAAACCCGGAAAAAAAATAGAAGGGAACATGGCAACCATAGTTGAGGGTGTAGACCTAAACATTTGCCCACCCTGGACTAAAAGTAAAGATGGAGCGGGGGCAGTTCTGCGCGCATTGTACATTTTAATCCTAAAAATACAAAAATTTATGTAATGCTCGCATATGCAAAAGCTCGTGAGAAAAACAGGACGGGACAGGGCAGACCCACTAAAAGGTGCAGACTTAAACCCTTGGTCCACCACACACTAAAATGTAGGTAAAACAGGTATGTCGAACGGTCCTCGCCCGTTTTTCCACCCATATGGACATCATCAACCCAAGGTCAAACCTCATAAAATTGAGAAATTTTTTTTTGGATCGTTTTAAATTGGCCAATGATTTAATAGGTTTAACCAAACATTTGGATTAAAGGAACACAATCTTGTTTGAATTTTAAAATGAAATCGCTTGTTCATTTGGGTATTACTCATTATACCTCATGCCTTACTCACATCCTAGCAAAATTCTAAAAATACCCTTAAAATCTAGAGCTTGAAATCCTTACGCCCCAAATATCTCTATCTGAAACAAGTTAGATCATATCAAAGTATATGTCCAGATTTTGAAATCTGGATTAACAATTTAAGGAAATTGAAATCAAATTCAGACAAAAGCTAAGTTAAAGAATTTTTCAATATTTCAAAATTCAAATCCCACCCTGTTATTAAAAAAAACATAAACAATTTCAGACAGAGGATGAAGAATAAGATAACTTAACATAAATATTTGTTATGACATACACAAAATACATAACATAACATAACATAAATCTTTGTTAACTTAAATCTAACATGACATTTCATCAACGATACATAATTGAGGATTTTTCAAATTTGTTATAATATCGTTGGTCGATATTACAAGTGTCGTTTCATCGTTAATTCGATATGGGATCATATAAGTTTCTTGTTTCTAGGAATGTAACATTTTATAAAACTTGTTTTCCTTTTACCCAAAGTAATGACCACAAACTCCTACCTCCTCTACCTACCCTCAATCCTAATAATACCGATCTTGACCCTATTCTTGTTCCTCCTGCCTCACCATTCCCAAATGCCACACCTCTTCTCATTTCTCCCACAACTTCACCACCTGCTCTTTCCAAGCTCAACCATCTTTCCCCTCTTTCTGTATCTAACCTTCCACCACAACCTACTAGGAAATCCACCAGACAAACCAAAAAGCCTTCATAATTAAATAACTACCACTGCAACCTCCTTAACACTAATACATCGTCACCCCTTGCGCTAAACCCGCCATAAATTTCCCTTTCATATGTACTCAACTATAACTAATGCAAAAATAATTTCAATTTTTTTTGCCTATATGTTTCTTCTATTCTTGAACCTACTACATACACCCAAGCATGAAAACATGAATGTTGGTTCCAAGCCATGCGAACAAAGTTACTAGCCCTTAAACTAACGAATACCAGGACTATCGTTGACCTCTCCCCTCATAAAACACATATTGGGTGTAAATGAGTTTATGAAATTAAATATCTTGTTGATGGTAGTATTGACAGGTATAAATCTCGACTAGTTGCAAAGGGTTACATTCAACAAGAGGGTGTTGACTACTTTGACACTTTCTCTACTATTTCCAAATAGACCACTATAAGAACATTAATGTCATCTACATAAACTAATAAGACAATAAAATTTTTATGAATAAATTTAGTGAACATGGAATAATCAATAGTGGAGTGACTGTAACCAACATATATCAAGGTGTATGATAATTTAGAATACCATTGTCTACTGGCTTGTTTGAGGCCATATAGACTTTGTTAAGTTTACAAACCTCTGTGGTTGGAGATAAATGAGGAAGTTTATGGCCTTTGGGTATGGTCTTACAAACTTCTTCATTTAGATCTCCATGAAGAAAGACATTATTGACATCTAGTTTTTTTAGATTCCAATTTTAAATTGAAGCTAGGGAAGTATTGTCGTAGCAGATAACGAAATTACTGAAATCGCAAGTCAAAGTCATACTTTATCACAAGTTTTGTATCAAGGACTTAGGTCCTCTAAGATACTTTCTTGGGCTTGAAGTGGCTAGATATACCTCAGGTATTTTCTTAATCAATGTAATTACACTTTTGGCCTACTAAAAGTACATGTTTGTTAGCCTTTAAATCTTTCCCAACTTCTTACAACCAGTTGACAGGAGCTTGTGCAGGCTGATAAACACAACCCAACTATAAAACTTTATTGTCCAAATTCTACTTCATTTCATGATTCTACACAACATAGAAGATTAATTGCCAGTTAGTTTATTTAAGTACAACTTGTCCTTATATTTACTTTGTTGTCCAACAACTAAGTCAATTTATTTCAAATCCTACTAATAATTATTTTGAGACAACAATTAAAGATTTTCAATGTTTAAAACCATCCCAGCTTAGGGACTATTTTATCCTGCTAATTCTAATTCAGTACTGTCTGGTTTTGCAGATAGTGATTGGGCCACATGCTCCACAACAAAGAGATACACCAATATTTGCTATTTTTTTAAAGAACATCATTCATCTCATGGAAGTCAAAAAATCAAACAATAGTCTCCTGCTTCAGCTTGGAAGCAGAATGTAGAACCTCCACATCCCTCACATGTGAAATTCAATGGACGCACTACCTCTTTAAAGATTCTGGCATAAAATTCAACATGCCCACATTTGTTTACTATGACGACCGATATGTAGTCTATCTCGCGTACAACCCCGCCTTTCATGAATGATCAAAGTACATTGAATTTGAATGTCACCTTATAAGAGAGAAATTAGAATCTAGCCTAATAAACTCTTTCTCATTCCTTTTCCTGCTGAAATTGCCAATGTTTTGACAAATTCACTTGTTACCCCTATTTTTTTTTTAACAAACTAAGATTTTTTTCAATATTCCGTCCAACTTGTAGGAGAGTATTAGAAAATAACTCTTAATTATAAATTATTATTTAATGTATTTTAGTTCCACCAATATAAATACCTTTTATTTTGGATAATAGTGATAATTATAAAAGTCAGATTATGTGTAATGATTTACATGATTTTCTTTTTTGACAAGAGATAAATGGGATTTTTAAATTTTAGAAAATCCAAAAGACAACGCAATGGCTAGTATTGATCTTGTGAAAATAACATAAATATTATTCAATAAAAACGAAATCATTGTAACTTGTAACACCAGCGTTTGTAGTCCAACGGTTAGGATAATTGCCTTCCAAGCAATAGACCCGGGTTCGACTCCCGGCAAACGCAATCTGTTTTGTTTTTATTTTTCTAATTGACCCCACCAGAAATGAGCATTTGTGGTTCATATGAATCTTGCACCTCAAATATCACCGCTACCGTAAGTAACTTGTGATAGCTTAATCCTTCACTACTAACATCCCCTATGGAATTTTGTTCCACAACTCTTTCTTTCTCTTCTTCCACTTCTCTTCTCCATTTTCAGGTAAATTTCTCAACTCATTATAACCCATAAGAATTGTTTATCCTTATCCATGCATGTATGTTGATTGTCGATTCTTTGCTGAATTTGAAACTTCCAACTTCCTCATAGCAAGTAAAAAAAATTATACATTTTTTTTGGCTTTATCTTATAAACTCTTCTTTTAATTTGTGTTGCAGAGCCCTAAATTTCCTAAAAGGAATTTCTGTCACAAAATTTCAAACCCTACATTGCCTAAACCATTTCTTCAGATATATGGTAAACCTCATACATTAATTTATGAACAAAATTCAACAAAACTTTCTCCTAGAACACATAGAGCAATCATAACAGCTAAATCCGGAAGACAAAATTGGGATTTAGGAAGGTTTATAAAAACTTTATACTTCTTCAATGGACCTCCATCTCCTGCTAAGGTAACTTTTTTTTCATTTCTGAATATTTATCATTTCTGAACTGTGGATCAACTAATGAATATTTATCATTTCTGAATTGTGAAGTTCTTTGACTTTCTAGTTGGGAAACTATCCAGTACTTCCCCTAGTGTATCGGTTAACTCAATGGGGACTTCGGATATTGTTCTTGTTGCTGGAGCTACCGGTGGTGTTGGTCGAAGAGTGGTTGACGTGTTACGGAAGAAAGGAATTCCTGTTCGAGTTTTGGTATTGTTTTGTGGCTTTGTCTTTGTAAAGTTCTCACAGCAAATAAATTTGCTATTTAACTTCTGTATCAATATTTTATCAGGTTAGAAATGAAGAGAAAGCAAGAAAGATGTTAGGCTCAGATGTTGACTTGGTGAGTTACTTTAATTGAATGTGCTGAAATACTTTGCAATTGATAAAATAATATAAATATATGTGCTTTCTTAGTTTGCAACAATTTGATGTTGATAATGAGATGTAATTGGACCTAAATATGATGGATCCCGAAATAATGGAAAAAATGTTACTTATGGAGGGCAGAATAGTCAATAGTGGCGCTATCCTGCTATAGTGGAGCGGAGGCCATAAGTTATGGGAAGAGCACTATAACACTATAGAGGTGCTATAGGGTAAATAACGGGTAGCGGGGGAGGAGTAGTTTCTGTCCTGCTATCCTTTTCCGTCTGAAAAACTGAAATCACCCCTTAAATTAGAAGTGTTTTAAGGGTAATTTCGGGTTTTTCAATCAAAATTGAGTTGAGACTCGACCCTATCCTTTGACTTCTCTGTTTTCATTTTGATCACATTGAAGAAAATGAAGAGTTTCAAGAAGATAATAGGGTGGAGAATGAAGAGGAATATGTTCAATTGTGATGATATTTGATCTCTATGATAGTTTGGATTTTAATATTTAGTACTTAAGTTTGAATTTTGGGATGTGATGTTTTTGAAAAAGACGCATGGATTTTGATTAAGACTTGTTGGTTTTTGATTGTTTTTTTATTAAATCTTGTGCTTTGATTTGTAAATATTTTAGGGGTTGAGTTATTTCCTTAATTTTACATTAAAGATATATTTATAATTATTATAATGTAATTTGTCCAAAAAATTATCAAATAGCGGTAATTCCGCTATCCCACTTTTGGGGTCTGCCGCTCCGTGCCGCTCTCCGGTATTGACTACTCTCAGTACTCTGATGGAGGGCATGTGCTTGTTTGCAAAAGAGATGATACATTGACTGCCCGCCAAGTACAATGTCTTTACGAATCTGTGAATGAAAGATTTACGTAAATTTTAAGACTAGCTGGTGGAAGATAACGATGTTCATCCATTTTATTTACTCTTTCCTCTACATTACAACCAACTAACCTTTTTGTTGAAACTAAGGTTGTGGGAGACATTACAAAAGATAGTACTTTGATCCCTGAGTACTTTAAAGGAGTGAAGAAAGTGATCAACGCCGTTTCTGTAATTGTTGGCCCTAAAGAAGGAGACACTCCGGACAGAGCAAAATACAGCCAAGTATGTTTAGTCACTTTATTAAGAATAGAAATAGAAATGCGGTTTTTTTAATCAGTGCATATCTATCATGGGAAATGAGTGGACTATTGCTGACTAGTATCAACCGACTGATTTTCTCAATATTGAATGTTTGTTGAAGGCTTCATAATCATCTCTTTCTAACTGGTTGAATTTATTTTTGATGCAGGGAATTAAGTTCTTTGAGCCAGAGGTAAATAACTATTTTTTCTTTTTGTTGAGACTATCTTCGGAGTCAGATTTGTTGTCTATTTAATTTAAAAGTCCAGTATGTATGCAATTGCAAGCTCATCCTGAGAAATTCTTGAAGCTTTTCTCTTAGTTGTTGGTTATTGAAATCAGATAAAAGGTGATTCACCAGAAAAAGTAGAGTACATAGGAATGAGAAATTTGATCAAGGCCGTGAAGAACAACCTTGGACTTCGAAGGGGAAAGCTATTATTTGGATTTGAAGGTAGTTTCCTAGTTGACAGCAATGCTTGATTGATTCATCTTCTCTAATTTTAGTTGAACAACCTTGAACAAGTGATTTTGTTTCTTTGTGCGTCCTATTGATCGAATTTCTTTCTCTAATTTTCTGGCAGGCGAAAGTTACAGGCAGCTTTCTTGGGGCGCTTTGGATGACGTGGTAATGGGTGGAGTTAGTGAAAGTACTTTTCAAATTGACTCAAATGGTAGTGAAAATGGTGGACCAACTGGGGTTTTTAAAGGTATTTATCGAATTCTTGCAAATGTGTGCAATTGTACTTCTAGAGGATTTGAATAGCGTGCCTTTGTATTATACTGCTCAAAATAATACAGTCTTGTGTCTAATCCAGGTGTTGTTTCATCGGCAAATAATGGTGGCTTTACAAGTATCAGAACAAAGGTAAACTGCAATTTTTATTTTAACTAAGTATTGCGCGAAACTAAGTTGTTAAGTGAAAAGAAGAGAGTTTACATAATTGGTTTTCAGAATTTTTCAGAACCTGAGGATCTCTCTGCATATGATGGTTTGGAGTTCCGTCTAAAAGGTGATGGGCGTAGATATAAGGTCATTATACGCACAAGCCCCGATTGGGATGCTCTTGGGTACACTGCAGGCTTTAACACAGAGAAAGGCAAATGGCAATCGGTAGTTGAAATCTAATACCATAGAATATAGATACCGCCTATTTTATTTAATGACAGCTCTCAACGGTATCGGTGTGTTGTTTTTTCCTTTCACAGATTCAATTGCCGTTTTCTTCCCTGAGGCCCATATTTCGAGCAAAAACTGTGTCTGATGCTCCGCCATTTGATCCCAGCAACATTGCATCACTGCAGGCATGGCTCTGTTGTTAGTATTTCCTTGTCTTTGTCCTTGCTATCTCACACATGTTCTTAATGATGAAGCAAAATTCTCTGCAGCTCATGTTCAGCAAGTTTGAATATGATGGTAAATTAAATGAGACTTTTGCGGAAGGTCCGTTTGAGCTTCCGGTGTCGAGCATAAAGGCATATATAAATGATCCAATAACTCCTAGGTATAGCTTTATTTTCTGGTTCCCTTTCCCATCCTTTTTATCATCCCTATATGCTTATTTTTTTGCCGTGTTTCTGTCATTAAGATTTGTACATGTGGGGTCAGCGGGAGTTACCCGACCGGAAAGGCCCGGACTTGATCTAAGTAAACAGCCTCCGGCAGTTCGATTAAACAAGGAACTGGATTATATCCTCACATTTAAACTAAAGGTAGAATACTGTTGATGGCTCCTTATTTGTTTCCATTTCTTTGTTACATCTTCATTTGCTGAGAGCAATTAGTGCTGCAATAGGGTGAGGATTCAATCCGAGAAAGTGGCATTCCATATACGATTGTGAGGCCTTGTGCGTTAACTGAAGAACCTGCTGGAGCTGATCTAATCTTTGATCAAGGAGATAATATTACGGTATTGAGAAAAACATTTTCTTGGTTTAAGAGCTCTTGCTAAACATTCATCTCACACATTTCACTATAATAGCATTTTGCTTTCTCACTCATTTTCCAATTTAACGCATAATAGGGTAAAATATCAAGGGAAGAGGTCGCTCAGATGTGCGTAGCTGCACTTGAAAGCCCTTACGCATGCGATAAAACATTTGAGGTCAGCCTTTTCCTTTACAATCCTGATCCATATTTTTTCATGATTTATTTAGCATTACTAGTACTTTTATGTTTTCGATTGTGGACAATCTCACTCTAGTTTGAAGCTTTACTCATCTATACAACTATATCTATTGCAGGTCAAAAGTGTTATTCCATTTAGCGAGCCATTTACGGTGGATCCAGAAAATCCTCCTCTAGAAAAGGACTATGACATATACTTTAAAACCTTAAAAGAAGGCATAACTGGGAAGGAAGCCCTCCAACAAAATCCTATACCTGTTTAATGTTCTTGCATTGCAGTTCAGCTATGGATATTCAGGATATATATAATAGTACATTGAGAGCTACACATAATCTTTGAATCCAAAGAAATATAAACCAAACAAAACGATGATACACTTCATAAGCCTAGCCATGAATGTTTCCCTATACAAGATGCATGTATATTCATTGTGCTTAAACATACTTTCCTTTTCCTTGTTTGTTTTAGTAGATAGGAAGGTAAAGAATAACCACACCACACTTTTCATATGCCAAAATAAATTTGGTTTTGACTCCAATATCGGTAAAAGAATTATCCTAGTATGCTTTATTCTCACATTCACATATTGGTATTTTTCATGCTCTGATTCCAAACGTGTTAAATCGAACTATAATTTGTTGAGGATGTATAATTTATATTATAGTTGTTCTTGTTGTGCAAGTTAAGAGGTAATTAGATTAGTTACAAAGTTTGTGAAATTAGTTATTAAGTTTGTGAGATTAGTTGCAAAGTTTGCTACAAAAATGTGAACTAATTGAGACTTGTAAACATGTATACATGCATGCTACTATGTTGTAAATAACAGCTTTTCTCTCGATATTAAAAATTTACAACAATATTTCCTTACAATCAACTAAATTTCTTTCTTTTTCATTCTCAAGAGACATAAGATTGTTTCAACAATTGATATTAAGGAGTCTGATTTGATTCAACTATTTGCAATGGCAAATGGAAGCACATCATTGAATCAATTTTTAGTGAAACTAGGTAAAAACTATGATAGGTGAATTGCAAAAATGAAGGTTATATTTAGATTTCAAGATGTGGTTGAAATCGTGTATGATGGCATACCTGCATTGGAGACAAATGTAAATGATACTCAAAAGGCTGCACACAAGGAGCATAGGAAGAAAGATAGGAAAGCTCTCTTCCTATCACTGTGTGGATCCTAATATTTTTTACAAGACCATTGAAGAAGAAACGACCAAAGAAGTGGGGGATAAGTTGAAGAAGTTGTATGGTGGATATGCCAAGTTGAAGACTTTAAGAAAGATATTTTGAGACAACTCAAATGAAACAGGAATAGTCAATTGTAAAATTCTTTTCAAGTTTGGTACTGCTGACCAACCAGATGAAGGCGTGTGGTGAATAATCAATGATTTGCAAAAGATCGAAAAAGTGTTGAGATATTTGACTGCAAATTTCAATTATATTGTAGTGTTAATAAAGGAGTATAAGAACCTACCTGAGATGAAGTTAGATGAACTTCAATCTTCTTTGTAAACTCATGAGGTGAGATTGAAGTAAAGAAGCTAAGAAAGGGAGAAAGTGATTGAATATGCACTATAAAAAAAATTCATCAAAAAAGTCGGGACGAGAAAAGTGAAGTAGAGAAAGAATTATGCATATGTCGATAGTTCAGGTAGGAATTCAAAGAATTAAAAGGTTCCTATCAAGAAAGGCATGTCAAACAAGAATCCAAGAAAGAAGGTGGACATGAAAGAAGTGTAGTACTATAGTGTAAAAATTTTGGTCGCTATGCAAGAGATTGTTACCGAAACAAGGATTCAAGGGCAAAATATGATGAAAAATTTCAATATGCACATGTAGGAGGGAGTGATTCTGATGATGTGCTGCTAATAGCTAACACTTAATCTAGATTCAGGGTTTAGCAACCATATGACAAGTAATAAGATCTGGGTCATCATGCTAGATGAATTAGTAAAGAAGGTGATAAAGTTTGCGTAGATATGTCACATCAAAAGGAAAAGGGAAACACATATGTGGTGAAAAAATATGGCCAGAAGGCTACCATTTCTGATATATTATATGCACCCTATATGACAAGTAACTCGATACGCATATGTCAATTACTTGTAAAAGGCTACAATATGAAGATGTCAGATAATCAATTGGAAATGTATGATGATGAAGGAAGATTGGTCTTGAGAGCACCATTAGCAAACAACAAGACCTTTAAGATATATATATCAACATGTTTGATCATCAATGCTTTGCCTCAACTATGAGAGAAAATAAAAAACTGGTTGTGGCACCATAGGCATGGACATTTAAGCTTCATAAGTCTAAGTCTTCTTAACATGAAGAAGTTGGTGTGTGGTCTAACTCAAATAAAGGATTCAAGTGAGATATGTGAAGAATGGTGAAAAACCAAACAAGCAAGGAAGTCATTCAAACATGACTTGCCTATGAAGTCAAAGTAAAACCTGATGCTTGTTCTTTATGATGTGTGTGGACATTTGGAAGTAAGGTTAAATGAAGGTAAATATTAATTCATAACTTTCATATATGAGTTCATAAGATACATATGAATTTATCTGATTGAAAGAAAGAGTGACATATTCACCTAGTTCAAGAGATTTAAATTCCTAGTTGAAAAAAGATGTTGCACAAAACACCTTATAAGGTCTGAATAGGGTTAAATCCAAATGTTTGTCACATAAAGGTATTTGGATCAATGTGCTTCAGGTATGTACTTGAACAATTGAGGAGAAAGCTGGATAATAGAAGTCAAACCATGGTTTTCATAGGTTATCACTCACCTAGAGCCTACAAATTGTATTCACCAAATAAGGATAAGCTTGTGATCATTAAAGATGTTCAAGTAGATGAAAGCAAGAGTTAGAATTGGACTCATAGGTCAATCCAACATGATTAAGATACTATCAGAACTGTACTTGAAGATGATAAACCAAGTGAAGAAATAACTGCTCAAAATGAAGGAACATATGAACAAAATGAAAGAAGGTCCAACAAAACAAGAACTTAATCAGTAAGACTAATTGATTATGAAAGATTTATAGACCAAACAATTGATGCAAAAGGTGACTTAATAGAATAAGCAATGATGGCTAGGTCATAACCAATTGATTTGGATCAAGCCATGAATGATTAAAATTAGTTCGCCGCCTAGGAAGAAGAACTTATAGAAATTGAAAGAAACAATACCAGGGAGCTCATAGACAAATCAAACAAGAAACCAATTGATGTGAAGTGAGCCTATAAGTTGAAACTTAGACCAAATGGTGAAATTTTTAAGTATAAGGTCAGACTAGTGTCAAGAGGCTTCTTGCAAGAACCCGGTGTTGACTTTAATGAAGTTTATGCCCCTATTGCAAGATTGGAAACCATCAGAATTGTTGTGGCTAATGCAGCATACAAAGCATGAAGATGCACCAGTTAGATGTAAAATTAACATTTTTGAATGGACCATTGGATGAAGAGGTTTATGTTAACCAACCTCCGAGTTTTGGGATTAAAGGCCAGCAAATGAAAGTATATAGGTTAAGAAAGACTTTGTATGGTTTTAAAAAAATCTCAAAGTGCTTGGAATAAAAAGGATAAAATGACTTTCTAATCAAGATAGGATTCACAAAGTGTACTTCAGAGCATGGTGTGTATGTCAGTAGCTCAAGCAAGCTCTTTCAGATCATTGTATGCCTATATGTAGTTCACTTGCTAATCACATGATCAAATGAAGATGAGATCATGATATTTAAGGAAAGCATGATGAAAGAATTTGAAGTGTTTGATATAGGGAAATTTTCATATTTATTAGGAGTGAAATTCAAAGACACAAGCAAATGAGTGTTCCTGCACCAAAAGAAGTGCGCACAAGACATTTTGAAAAGGTTCAAGATGAACAAATATAATGCAAAAGTCACACCATTGAAGACAGAAGCTAAGTTGAGAAAGGATACAACTGATGAACTTGTAAATTAAACATTGTTCAAGAAAATCATTAGATACTTGAGATATCTACGCAACATAAGACCAAATATTTGTCAAAATGTTGGGCTAATAAGCAAGTTTATGGATAAAGAAAGAGAATGCCACTTAATTGTAGCTAAGAGAGTCTTGAGGTATATCAAAGAAATAATTGATCATGGTGTTAATGGAAAGGCAGAAGAACACCAATACGAATGCATTAGTGCATGTATACATTGATTCAGATTTCAGTGGAGATCAAGATGATAAGGGTACTACTGCAGAGTACTTATTCATGATTGGGGGTGCTCCAATTTCTTATAATTCAAGAAAGCAGGGAATAATAACATTATCATATTGTGAAGTTAAATATGTAAAAGATTCCTATGTAGCATGTCAAGCAGTGTGGATAAAAATGCTGATGAATGAACTTAAGGTCATGCAACATGAAAAGTTGAAGTTGTTTGTATCATCCATAAACTTAACCAATCATTCAATGAGTCATGAAGAAGTAAACACATATAAATGAGGTATCAATTTATTATAGATCAAGTGAATAAATGGAAACTCAAGTTGAAGTATTGCAAATCAGAAGTGCGGCTAGCTGACATACTCACAAAACCCTTGAAGAAGACAAGGTTTGATAAGCTGAAATAGTTTATTGGAATGAGAAGTTTAGTGAATATGAATTAAAAGGAATGTTCTCCGCACCACCTCTCCACCCCGTTGGGTTTGCTATGCATACTCTGTTTTGAGGTGCCACCAAATCTTCCTATCATACCATTCTTTAGAGTTCCGGTTGGATTCTTGGTGGTCGTCATTTCTAGTGGTTGGTTTATTGTTTCAGTGTTAAGATCAATTTGATTTTTGGTAGTTTCAGTTCAGATATGACTGTTGTTGATCTAAAGCTATGTTACACTGGTGCTGGTGGTGGTTTCTCGCCTTTGATCTATGGTTTTTCCAAATCTGCTGAGATCTACAGTTTTCAACAGGTTTCGAGGTCTTCATCTCCGCACCAGTGGTTTTGTGCTTGTTAATACCTTAGTGCCAATGAGTTGTTTTGTTTATGTCAGATTGAATGTCTTAGAGCTTGTTCGTTGCAATTTGGGTTAGTTTGGTTTGAAAGGGCTATTAAATTTATGTGATTTTCAATTCCCAGGGACAATTGGTATAGTTGGTATGTGTATTGTCCGTGTTGGTAGTAGATACATGCACCATTCTTAACAAGACGAGTTTGATTCTTCAGACTCATCTCTGATTCTTTTATAATGTTGGCTTATTTTTACCCATTATTTTGTTTTGCAATTTGATTTCGGATTCCGCGTTGGGTTCGCTAGATTGTACTTTTTATGTATCTATTTGCTTTGTATTAGACTCTTTATCACTTTTATTTTTCTTTTATTTGTTCCATTTAGAATTGATTTGTGGTTGTTGGGTTAAGTTTATGTCCTTCCAATTTTCTTTGTATTTCCATTTTTGTTTTATGATATTTTACTTTGCTTAAAAAAATTAGATGAAATGTTGAGGATACATAATTCATAATATAATTGTTTTTGTAGTGCAAATTAAGAGATAATTAAATTAATAACAAAACTTTGTTACAAAGATGTGAGTATATATATATATATATATATATATATATATATATATATATATATATATATATATATATATATATATATATATATATATATATATATATATATATATATATATATATATATATATATATATATATATATATATATATATATATATATATATATATATATATATATATATATATATATATATATATATATATATATATATATATATATATATATATATATATATATATATATATATATATATATATATATATATATATATATATATATATATATATATATATATATATATATATATATATATATATATATATATATATATATATATGTTGTAAATTAAACTCTTCTCTCAATATAAAAAATTTACAATAGTATTTCCTTGCAATCCATTTAATTTTTTTCTTTTTTCATTCTCAAGAGACATAAGAAGATTAAGATTGTTCCAACATTATTCTTAATGCTAAAGTTTTGATTCCAGATTGTTGTTATGCGAAAATCATGATATGACATTGTTTGGAAACTCAAATTGATTCTACACAAACTCGGATATTTGAAAGTTACAAACTGATTTCAAATATTTTTTGTTAAATGATTTTGAGCAATCAAATGCACTGTTTTCATGCTCATATAGAATCTTTGCTGTAATAGACTCACAGGTCACATGGTCCTTCTTTCTTCTTAAATACTGTTGGACAAAATGCCACGGTCCCATTGCGTCAGTTCAAGAAAAGATAATGCATGGAACATTGGAACATTACATCACTATCCTAACGAATTTCTTCCATAAGATTCATTTAATTAAAACATTGTTCTAACACCATTGAAGAATTGTACAAAGGATTCTACCAAATCATAGATACAAAGTTGTTAGTAGCATACTTTTATAATAACAAGAGAAATGAATTTAACAAACAATTTAAATTTATCAATAACTATTGTTTAATAACAATTAACTATACTTTTTATTATTAATAATTTACTAATAACTAGTAGAATGTCAATATTATTTAATTAAATAATTAATCCAATATTATATCAGAAAACACGTGGCAAAGAAACCCCATAAAAGTATCTTACAAATCACCTCTAAAAACAATTCATTCAAAAGTCACAACAAATTCATATTCTATATGCTTCTTACGTAAATAAACCTATACAAATAAATCACAAATAAATTTTAGCTAGAGAAAAACAAAAACAAAAATTTAATTAAGTTCATATGAATATAATAACTCAATCACACAGAAATTTTGGACATAATGTAGAGCTTGAAATCTTCATACTTTCTTCACATTCACATTCACATTCAGTGTCAGGAACAACAGAACACCTGCCAAAACAACAAGATAGAATTATTCAGAACAAATTTAGAGAGAGAAAACAAAGAAATGAAACATGAAGAAAAAAAAGAAGAATCTACTGTATACAGAGAAACAAAACAGACTCTGATTTTTCTTCGTGCATTTGTGTTTCTGAGTCTATCAAGCAATTCTCGATGAGTGAATATGCTTCCCGGTGAGCTCAAGAAAACTGTGCGTGGAACTGGAGGAGACCACAGTCCACTTTTCTCATAATCAAAATCAAACAGTGGTTCGTCATAGAATTTCTGCAACAATCTATCAGAAACAGATTTTGTAACGATTTGAACCTGTTGCGGATAAGTTTCATAGGAAACGGTTGTTTTAGCTATCATTTCAGTGAGAGAGATAAGAAGAGTATGAAGAAAGAATGATGAGGTAGCATTTGGGAAAAGGAGAGAGATTTGAAGAGGGGGAAATGATGCAGAAGGTAGGAAGTTTGATAAGGACGTGTATGGCTGTATGTGTGCAATCATAGATAGGTCGTGAGCTCCATCATATGATGATTTAATTAATATATTAACTCAGATTCTTGTTTGGTTTGGTTGCATAATTAACTACGTTTTTATCCCAAAACAGAGTTTGGTTCCTAGTTGTACGCAGGGACATCAAAAGTGAAGGTCAATGTTTGATAGTCCCATCGTCTCAGAAAAGTTATCTTATTTGTACTTTTCTTTATCTAAAATAATTATTCATTTATATTATTAATATAACATTTATTAGTAATTATCCATTCATTTTTACTTTATTCAATTATTTTATTAATTATAGTTTTAAAAATTAAACTGAACAGACCGATGATACGAGTTGAACTGGAGATCATAGTAATCGAATTGATTTAATTGTTGGATTGAGTATGTAATTAAACAGACAAGAATCTGTAAAAATCAGAAAATTGACGGTTTAAATGCTTTTATTTTCTTTTAAAAAAATTAAAACGACGTCGTTTTTTATTATTTTAAAAAAATAAAAATAAAAATATAAGAGAAAGTTAATATTCTTTCTTTTAAATATTGGTGACTGTGATGTTAAATATAATAAATAGAGACTATTGTAAAATTATAGTATTGATAGATTCTGGAATTTGAACATATTTTATTTTCTCTTCTATGAGATTAATAGCATTGATTTCTATTAGTTAATTGGACTTCTATTAGTTAGTTGGACTGAGATGTTGCATAAAGTAAATGATAATCCATGTTTGATAAACAACAAAAATAAATTTATATTTGAAATTGATACTTTGAGTAAATTTTTAAATCAATTACTTTACTTAAATTTATAATTGACTCAAATTTAAATTTAAATTATGAAATTATGAAACTATGATATTTTAAAATTTCTTAGGTGTTAGTGATTTTTTTAGACACCGAGTCATCTGGTACTATCAGTTTAATATTTATATAATTTTGTTATAATGACAGATTTATTCAACCGAATTATTCAGTTTAGTCATGCGATTCGACCAATAATCCAGTGGTTCGACTAATGAACTAGTGACCCAATATCTTTATCGATTCGATGACCGGTCCGAATTTGAAAACATTGTTATTAATTACATGTATTAAGAATATTTAGGTAAATAATATTAATTTTTTTCACTAATATCAACACATTTAATCGTTTTATTAAGAACCGCACATTCCTCGAATAAAACACTTTTTATAAGATAGAGAAAGTATCTCACAACAACAATTGAGTTTTATTGCAATAAGTGAACTCGATTACATAGATAAACTTTCTACATAATAATTTATCAATCATCATGTTTCTATTCAAATTCTTAATCTCAAAATTTTTTACTAACTTTTTTTTATAGTTTTTCTAAGTTTTATTCTTTTAGTTATTTAACTTCTCTAAATCTTATCTATTCTCTTTACCACATAATTTATAAATCCTCTATCTTTTTATATGCCCAACCATCTAAATTTATTTTTCATAATTTTCTCTACTATAGACGATATCCTAATACTCTATAATATTTTTATTTTTAATCATAACATATCTAATCTTATCACAAATCAAATATAATATTCTCGTCTCTATTACATTTATATTATTCTTATATTGATTCATCACCATTTAACATTCTATCCGCATAATATCACATGTATTATCACAAATTGATAAAAAAAAATTCTTTCAGGTTGAACGACATCTTTGCCTAACGTATAGTTAAAAAATACTGAAATACCAACTTACAACCTAATCACTTATAAAAATACAAATAAAAAAGATAATATAATGAGCTAAATTTATATATAAGCATTATTTAGTTGTATTGCTATAATAGAACAACACAACCTCAATTGTTGCTTGCCCCTACTTGGAAGTAACAACAGAAGCATGTGTAAATGTGGACTAATCATTTTTGGACCACCATGTTTGTCCACTTTTTTTTTTTAGGCTCATAGCTTTATAGCTTAATTTTCGAAATTCCACTTAGATTGAATAATTGAAAAGTCACGAAATTGAATACATATTTATGCTCTATACACATTTATTAATAAAACTGGTTTAGCAAGACTATTTATTTATTATATCCATTTTTTATTTTTTATTTTTAAATAATCATATGCAAACTTATGATGCTAATAATTGAGAAATTTTAGTTAGGTGTACGCATGGGATTTGATAGTTTGACCAAAATTCTGACAACACCAGCCGACCAGTTGTGCAAGTTGTACCTCTAATAGGATATTTTCTTCTACACATGAATGAAAAAATTCATTTTTTCAATTTAATAAGATTAAAATAAACAGAAAATTTTACCTAAAAAAAATTAACCATTATGCATTCACATGATTGAATCCGAATTTAGGAACCTTGATTAAACTAATTAAGTGGAAATAAAGTTTGATTATTTTTTAAATTTCACATATATTTTCCTTTTGCCCTTTTGATCTTTATTATGATTATGTGTGTATTTTAAGGAGCTGTGTGTCCTCTTTCTTTTAAATGTCAGAAATTGTTTTCATCTTTAAGGTGCAAAGAGGACATGGTAGAAATTTAAACATCACATCCTTTATTTTGCAAGTGTCGATAATGATTATTGATTGGTAAGCATTATTAATACATCTTCATTTTTACATTTATTTATTAAAACTATTTTAATACTTATATGAAAATGGAAAATCCTAATGTTATTTTATATTTTTTTTTTACTAACGACGAGAATTGTTCTCAATAAGATATTTATTGAAAATTGTTTTCAATGTGATATTTGTCGAGAATAATATGCACATATTATTAAATTCAAATGTTTATTACCTTTGGTACTTTGTGTTAGAGTTTCTAAAAGACACTGTGGAATTCCCTTTTTAACTATTTTAAATCATGTTATTTAAAATAACATAATTTTTTTTAAATGTCCAACCTTATTACAATATTTGCATTTAAATATAAAGTGATTAAATTTCTTACTATCATAACAAATAACAAATGTTAATGAAAGATTTATTAGGTTGATATTCTAAACCATTATTATTAAATTTCTTTCTGGCAATTGTTGTCATATATCCATCTCTGCCATATCTAAATGAGAATTCTTAATATCTTTAGTTTTTCTTTGAATGTTCAGAAGTGTTTCTATTAGATTTTCACACACATTTTTCTCCATATACATCATATCAAGACAATGTCTTACATTGAGGTTAGACCAATATGAAAGATCAAATAACACCGATCTCTTTTTTCAAATATTTCTCTAAATAGGATCTTTTTTATTCTTTCGAAAGACAACAGTAAGGTGTTCTTGTTGTCGATAAACATCATCGCCAATTGAAGTTTTAGGAGCGATTTCAAACTCCTACTCTCCATTAAAAATCTTTCGCAATCTACGACCTTTATATCCTTTGACACTGTATCCAACCAATTACCATATACAGTAAAAGTAGTTGATTGTGCAAAATAATATTGCATGCATCTTAAACTTTTCACCAAAGTATGCATCATCAACGTCAACACATTCCTCTCATAAAAGTATTAAATCTTCAGTTAATAGACTTAGATAAACATCTATGTCGTTTTTAGATTATTTTGGTCCATAAGTCATCATACTTAACAACATATACTTGAGCTTCATGCGCACAACCAAGGAGACACGTTGTAAATCGTGAGAAAAACCGAACACAAAGAATGATTAGCACTCAGATTACCAAAGGGGTTCATTCCATCAGTGGCAAACCCAAACGTAAGGTTTCTTAACTCAAGGCCAAAATCTGGAAGTAATGGATAATTATTCTTCCATTGAAAAAAATCAACTACATGGCGAATATTTCCATCACATTTTCTTTCATTTGCATGTCATTTAATATTATTTACGTCATTCGTTTTAGCAAAAAATGTCTTAAAACTTGAAATTATTGATAAGTACCTAACACTTTAGCAGGAGGTCACTTCTTGCTAACATTGTCATTGTCATCACCATTATTGTCCTTCAACTTGTAGCGCCACTCACCAGATTCTGGACATTGATCCAAATTTTCATACTCTTTCCAGTATAATATGAAATCATTATGCCATGAATTTATTTTGATATACTCCAAACCCATTGGATATAATATCTTTTTGGCCTCATATCAACGACCCGACAAATTTATATCTCCTGATAGCATCTGTTTCAACAAATCAAGAAATTCAGAGAAACTTTTTTCCGACCTCCCACTTTTTTCCTTTAGATTAAACAGTTTTACGACGCAGATAATCGTGTAAAACTTGTGCACCTGTTATATAAAGGTGCATCCTTATCACTACATAAAGTATCATAAATATGGGCTTTCATAAAAGACGAATCTCCAATATCGCAGATCATATCTTCTAGTTAATCATTCATATCTTCATGAACTTCATGCATTTGTAACACCGTGTTTCGATTTTTATCCACTTCTCCATGCCACGTCCATGTTGTATAATTTTGACATATTCTATCATAACATACGTGATGTAATCTTTCTTTCTTTGACCATTTTTTGATATTCCTCCAAGTAACACAAGGACAATAAAAGAGACCATTATTGACGAAAAGATTGTGTTCCGCGAATTCAAGGAATTAAAGAACTCATTTTTCATTCACCGGACCTAATCTATCAGCTTTCATCCAACTACAATCCATAACAAATTCTAAAATTTATAGCGAAAGACTAATGTGAATTGCACACTAATGCTACACACAACATACTAACATGGTTATATGCATACTAATATATTCATCACAAAAATATAAAATCAAAACCTAAAGCATATTCATAACCAGCCTCCACAATTCATGGCATCAATCAACAACCCAACAATTTCATTTGAAAAACAAAAACCTAAAGCATATTCATAACCACAT